AACGTCGCTATACCATCACATGACGACTACGATCAACGACAGCTGTACCCCAGATGGAGCACTCAACCAACCTCTGTCAACGTCATCAATATATCACCATGGAGATACAAGACAGGCGCCCAATCAAACACCGACTACACAGCAAGGCCCAGGATTGGTTCTTATGAGCCGGGAGGATACATAGCGTCGCTAGGATACAACAAAACCACGGCGTCCAAAATGCTGGATGACTTGGAGAGGTTGGGTTGGATTGATCGGTTCACACGCGTTGTTTTTATCGAATATGCATTTTACAAYGGCAACAACAACATGTTAAGTACAGTCCTCAGTTCTGTCGAGTTTACRGCGTTTGGAGGAGGTTTTCCTCGTTTCGATACCTTCTCGTTTCGCTTGTATCGTTATTTTACAACCTCACAGCTTGCTTACCTAGTTTGCGAGATTATTTTCGTCGTTTTTATTGCCAAACTCATGTATAAAGTTTTCTATGACATTTACGAGCAAAGACTCGATTACTTCAYATCATTTTGGAACTGGACCGACTTTATACTCATCCTCTCATCGCTGATCACGATTGGTCTTTACGGCGCACGCGCTGTTCAGCTCCAAAWGGGGATCTCTGCGATCGCACAAAATCCCGAAGCGTTCTTCAGTTTCTATACCATAAGCCTCTACGACAATCTCGTGGCCTACATGTCCTGCYTAGTCGTCCTAGTCCCCGTCATCCAGTTCCTCAAGTTYATGAAATTCAATCGCAGCTTTATGATCTTTGATAAAACATTGAAGATCATCCTTCCTGAYATTGCGGGTTTTGCGCTGGTTTTCCTTATAAGCTTAGTCGCCTTTGCGTATTGGGCGTACGACATGCTAAGACTAGACCTAGAAGCCTATAGTAAYTTCCCCGATGCCTTCAACAGTATTCTTTCGATGCTATTGGGGAAGTTCAGCTTTAGAGTGTTTTCCCCAGGCTCCACGCAAGAATACGGTCCGCTGTTCACTTACGCCTTCACAGTGTGCAATGTCTTCTTTATTATGACCATCATCCTCTGTATTATAACTCTCGGATTCACCACAGCCAAAGAACAAGAATCCACGAGTAGATTTGAAATCATCAAGTTCATTGTTACTCGTGTTAAGGGTACGTTAGGATTAAATCCCCCWTATATCCCCCCTAAGCCGGTTATCAAGACCATACCCGTAGACTACGCCCTTCTACAGCTGCAAATGAACACTAGATACGTTCTAGGCAGCCAAATGACTCGCATAGCGAGATTTGCTAATACAGTTTACAGTGAGGAGACGATCGATGACTTTGAATACATAGCGAGAATCTTAGGCATGCCAAATTGTATAGAGTACTTAGAGACCGCGATMAGGMGYCAGCGGTCAARGGGRTTGGACAAGGGGAAACCCCRTSAACAGCTCGAAATGTCAGCTGGGTATGAGGAGGATTTCTCTCCAGAATCATTCTCATGAGCTGAGAATATTAGAATATCATAATTGAGACAGAAATATATGAAAACATTTATATCAGACCCAGCAATGATTGCCGGCGATGAAAATTTTATTATTTTTTAAAGAAAAAAAAAGAGAATCTCATGAAAGTCTTTAATYTATTTAATTGAAAATCAATAAAAAAGTATGTCCAGAATATCCTTTATTGCGTCCTAAAGATTCCCCTGTCTAACTTCACAACACAGGAATCCCAAACTGAAAATGCAAGAACCACAATGCATTTCAAGCTGTGATGTAAACATTGAATTGACAATCAAAAAGAACTTTCGAAATGCCTAACTCTGCGTGATATTCGCCGACAAGATGTCTAGATAACWGAGAGGAGGACGCCGAATGGGCTAAAAGCTCGTCTACAAACTCAGCTGTTTTTTTTTTTTTTCACTCTCTGGAAAGAAAATGGAGTCCAAATCGGAGGAGGTCGCCACTGAACCTGTAATTGTTGTTCTTGATGTTGAGACAACAGGCTTGAAACCAGACGACAAAGTTGTGCAAATTGCATGCTTGAAGATCGATAAAAATGGCGACAAGACGGCATGGATGAGGTTCGTCAATCCAAACATGGACAGCCAACGACARCAAGAAGCATATCGYATCCACAASATCTCTCCARAGTTCCTMAGCACMAAACCMACRTTCGAGGACGTCTMCRGCAGYTTRYTAGSMTTTCTACAAGACGTGGATGTGATCGCGTGYCACAATGCCTTGTTTGACTGGTCGATGTTAAGTTATGAGTTTAAACGAATCGATGCTTCCAAAGCTGATGATTTTGAAAAGAAATTTCAATGGCTGGACACCTGGCGCTTAGCAGTTTTGTTCATGCCCAGTCTGTCCTCTCATAGCATGAAAGCGTTAAAATCGTTTTTCAACATTTATCATACAGATKCAAGTATATCCAATGCAGTTGACTGTGGAGGAGACTCATGGAGACAGGGCGACCATGATGCAATGTATGACGTATTCACAACATWTGAAGTCTTGAAGCGATGCATGGGTACAATGGACTTCAGTGAGCTGCTCAAGAAATATCCCAAAGCACTTCTAGATACAAGTCTTTTCGTTGACATCCAAAGGCTTAGAGATGAGAACAAAACAACTGATGAAGACCTCAGGCCCTTAGCATTCAGAGCAAAGAAATATTACACAGCAGTACGTCCAAAGGGAGGAGTGCTTGGTGATCTTTCTAAAGACTTCCTTAGAAGAATGACAAGGTATCATAGAGATGATGACAGAACAGATAGGAGGGTTGTACTGATMTATGAAGCCGCCCTCCTGGATCCTGTCCCTGACCCAGAAAAAGAGTTGGCTCCACCCAAAGAGGCTCACAATGAGATAGATGTAAGTCCTTGCAAAAACCAGTTGGARCGACAACATKTAGATGATAGGGATGTGGCAAATCCAAATCTACACAAAGTATTAGCAAATCAACAGTCCCCAAACATTACAACAGTTCATAATATACAGTCAGAAACAGCACACACTAAGGAAGAAAACATTACCAGAGAAGTAAAAAAAGAAATATTCCCAGAGGAGACACTGACAAAAGAAGAAGAAATCATTTCAAAGACTAATCCCAATGATTATACTGATAGTGGTAATGATATTGTGAATGTCAGAGATTCTCAAGAAATTGATGGCAAAGAGAAAGGCATTTTGGACATTGAAGAGGAATCTTCATCATCACCAAAGAAAATAAAAGTTGAATGAACATTATTTTTTAGAGCCACTGAAGAGAGCTCATTTTTTTAGAAAACTAGTTCCATGAATGATAAAAAGCTGTGATGTGGCAGGTTYGGTGCTAGCAATATTTATGAAACTTTTTAAACATTTTAAAGCTATGAGCTTTGAATATTCTTAAGACTGTTTATTATTTATGAAATAATAATGGCCACGCTCATGCGAAATAAAAAAAAATTGATCAAAATGATAGGTAGATCTTGAATAAAGTTTATGTTTGACATATAAATGTAGTATTTTATACATCTATGAAAAGCATGTAGCTCCAAAAATGGATTCTTACTCATATATTTGCCAAAATTTAGCCCTTATGATATACCAACTGTCAACTTCCTGGACAAGAACAAATCATAAAGGAAAATGGAAAATCTTTCTTGTATGTCAAGGAAGGCTTTATAGCCAAAACAAAGCGCGGCTAGACACTCAGTTGCCATTTTAATTATTTCTTACCTTTTTATAATCTGAGTTTTTGTTCATATTCTTGTAATTGTTTCATAAATCCATCATTGGGTTTTGCTACTGGTCTTGCTTCCCTCACCAGTTCCAGTGCATCTGAGAGAGTCATTCGCATGCTATGCATCAAGTATGCAATTACAGCAGTAGATGATCTTGAGATGCCGGCATTGCTAAAACAAATGAATGACAGAAACATTATTGAATGTCTACTTTACTTGGGAAAAATGATTCAACTCTGACTTACCAGTGAACTAGCACAGCGCCATCTCTACAGCCAGTATTAATGAAGTCAATCATTTCACTGAAATGTTGGTCAATTCGTGTCTCTGGAATATCAAGCAGCTCTATTTTTCTGTAGATGAATTCCTGAAATTCAATGCAAAATGTGATGAACATGAGAATTTCAGTTCAATATCACAACAATGACGTTATTTCTGCTGGGAAATAACACTGTTAATGGAATTCCTGTGTCAAAAAGAGCATAAGAATTGTCATGGAGTAAGTTGTAAAGGAGTCTAGGAGTTACAGGGTAGAGCATAGCATCTGTTTCACTTTTTGACTGTCCCAAGGCCTACAAATGCTTTTTGTGGTGGGGCACAGGGARCCCACCAAGAAAAACAACTTCACAGATGTCAGGTAAAATGAAATTTATAGAAAAAAGACATCTGGTTCTATCATTAATGTATTCTTCTAGATTACTTTGCATCTGTTTCTAGTGTTAAATTGTCAACTGAGCGAAAGTCATTGCTATATATATTTTGCTCAGTTAAAGTGTGAAAACATATGAGGCACATATGAAAGATTGTAATCCCTCCTTTCTTTCTCTTATTCCTTACCTCAGGATAAGCGTTTTTCACACCAGTAGCAACATTCAGAATGTGTGTTATTTGATGGTCCATTAGTTCAGTGTAGTTGCTTGCACCATCTTGAGAGCTGATATAGAGATTTGGTTTTATCCTGTATATCTTGGTGTCCGGATTGATGTCCTCGCAGAAACCAAATGTTCTCTGTCCAGTGTCAACAGTGATTACTCTTTCAGGGTCGACATCGCTTTTTCTCTCTAAAAGCTGATAAATTAATAACATTGATTGTTTATACATAACGTTAATTATAAACTAATATTTACATTTTAGATATATTGACATGGTTCAAAAGCTAATGACCAACAGACTTTTACGTACTTTTCTAGCGTTATTTTCTTATCTTTTTAGCTCAGAACGATGCTTACCTTCTTACCATCAACGGTTGTAACAACAGTTTCGACATTTTTAAGCCGGTTTTTGGAAAATTGTTGAATTTGTGCTTGGAAATTCATTTGTTATCGCCACACGAGATTGCATTTTCCATCAGGCGTTCCTTGTTCAACGCAGGGATACCAATAAAGTAATTGATCGGGTTTCCTGTGGTAGTGCATATAGAGTAGTAAACTTATGTAACAACTTTTTGGATMATTTTCTTTGGTTTAAAGCAAGAATTGTACTTTCTGTACTTCACAATGGCTTCAATTCGTGCATTAATTTGTTTGTCGTCTTTCAACCGGCGAGTTTTGGCTATGAAAACATGGCGTTTTACAACAATTGTTCGGCACAAATCAGCCATTTCTTGCTTCACAAGACATTCAAGATGCATAACGTTATTAAAATCACAAAGTTTTCCTAATCGCTATGTACATGACGATAAAGGTAAAGTGGACTCGCAAGAGTACAACGATAAACTTCGTGGTGGTGAAGAAGGGGCAGATAGCAAAAACCAAGAGCAAGAAAAACAACTGACACAAGTTCAAAGACTGAGGAAAATCTTTGCAGAATATGGCTCCACAGCTATTGCTTTTCATGTCACTATATCACTTACATCTCTTGGTATTTGTTACACTGCTGTACAAAGGTAAGTTGTTGACATCAGTTCATCTGATAGTCAAATAAATAAACCAATTCGACTCCCTCCCCTCCCTTTCTTTTTCTCCAATCTGCAATCCCCCCCCCCCCCCCCCCATCCCTCGTACAAAGTGATTAAGCTGAAGATCTGTAATAATTGTTTTCAGTGGCTTGGATGTACCTTTGATGTTACAGAAAATAGGCATCAGTAAAGGGATTACAGACTCGGCCGTAACAACTGGAGCCAGTACATTTGTCATTGCTTATGCCTGCCATAAAGTTTTTGCACCTTTGAGGATGTTTCTGACCATCACCTGCACCCCCCTGATTGTCAGAAGACTTCGCACAATGGGAATTCTCAAAGCACCAATAAAGCAAAGCCAATAGACAATATGTGTGAAAGACTGTAAACTTTAGACTCATTGCTCAATCTAGACAAAACTAGTTAAAACCAAAGAAGCAAAATCAGTCAACATGTTTGCTTAGCTCAAGTACAGCAATTGCCAAGAAATGTCAAAATCATAACTTTTTTCACCAACAAATATTAGACAAATAAGCTCTAAAGGAACTATCTTTTTGGTTGTCTGATTCTGTGTCAAACCACAGGATTGTTGTTTTAACTGTGAAAAGGGCTACATATCATGGCTGTTTGCATGGAAATGCCCCTCCTAAAGAGCAATACCACCAAAACAGCCATCCCAAAAGTTCACTGTTTGAAATCTTTTCTAAAGACAGGGTATGAAGTGAACTATCTGGATACTATTTTGGAGGCTAATTAATATTGATCAGAAAACAGAAACTAAAAGGGTCATATTTACAAAATTTCATTTATTTCAAAATGAAGTAACAAATAAATCTATTGCTTAACAACGCTGAGTTATAATGCAGTATAGAAGACTACATACAATAACCATGATTAGTACAACTTGCAAAACATCTAAATTACTCATTAAGATAAACTATAACATAATCTATGTATGTACAACGTTTACATCAAATTCATATCCACAGTTATTTCTTGAAAATGCTAGTGAACCCTGTAAGTCAATGAATCCGTTTAATTCTATTGCCCTAACAGAATGCAATTGCAAGTTCGTCTTTCACTCCAGCATTCAAAATATCAATGATTTTACTATGCAAAATCTTCTTCCCTTTTTTGTGTGTCTTTTTCTATGTTAGTTCAATCAAAACAGATGTATTGCTCAAAAGTAGTCTAAAGTAGTAGCATTACAATTATAATAGTTATCAAATATGATAGAAAGCAAGCTGAATTCAAGAAAACATACCAAGAATTACTCAAGAACAAACCCTATGTAAGTCTATTAACACCAATCATTGTATATAATATCTAGGTTGCTGTGATGAAGTGATTTGTTGGTGAACATTGTGCTTGTAGTTTTGTAACTAATTTTGTTAATATAATTATATGTACATATTTAAGTTGAATTACATTGCACATTATTATGTGGTTGTCGATGATGATGTTGGAACTGAYTTGGCTTGTGCTGCTGGTACATTTTSTAAAATCCAAGGATGAATCAGGACTCTGTCAAGACTCAGTCTATTCCTGGGATCACGTTGCAACAACTGAGGAATAATAAATAATAAGGTATAAGTTTGACAAGAAAGTATTGAAGTACATTTTCTTTGTATTAGTCCATGATTGTACTTCATACTAAAATTTTATTAGCATTATTTATTTAGCATTAATGTTTCCAGTCCATACTTACACTACAGATGAGATCCTTTGCWCCAGATGAAATTGCAATGTCTGAAGGAAAGCCCACATGAGCCTATGACAATATATTTCATAMAATTAGTACACTTGATGTAAATGTAACAGTCAATGTTATTATTAGTTGYAAAATCATTCAGGAATTACCTTTGAAATATTTTTGTAAGTTTCATGATGTCCTGCTGCCTCAAATGGTGGTTTTCCAACAAGAAACTCATAACATARAATACCTAAACTCCAAAGATCAACCTGGTAAACGAGAAACAAGAACAATTATTCATAACATGTACAGCTTGTTTAATATTTGTCACTATAAAAAGAAAAACMAACCTTTTCATCATGCATTCTTCCTTCCACCATYTCTGGTGGTAGATAGTCCAGTGTACCACACATCGTTGCACGCCTGAAAATAATCATTAAGACTGTAAATTATCCTTATATATATTTTGCTTGACAAGGGTATTGGTGCTCTGATTGGCTGCCTCATCTAGTATTTAAAGTGCAACTGAACCCTTCTAGAAAKTCATTTCATTCRAAAGAGAACATGCTGCTAAGCACTTCTGCAAAGGGAAAAAACWTTCAAAATATTATAYCTTCTGATTTAGAGTATATTTGAAAATTGGAAATGCAAATTAAGTTACGTCTACCAAGGAATGATTTAATATGCAAAATGACGAAAAAAATACATTACTCTTTTTTTATATCGGAGATGACATTTCCAGTTCTTGAATATCACTGTTATTGATGATTTGACCATTTCAACTGAACGCAAGATATTGCTAACAATGAAAAACCTCCAGCCCAATTCCTTGATTGACGTCACTTCATTAGCATTTTCAATTTTCAAACGTGTTTAACTCAGAAAATAGAATTCAAACAACTTTTTTTCCTTCAAGACAATGATTAGCATCATATTTGCCTTTAAAAAAAAATAATTTTCTAAAAGGGTTCAGTTGCACTTTAAATGCTGCAAATGTCATCATAGTTGAGAAGGGCTTCCTTTATTCTATRTTATATAACTGCGTGCTAGATTTGGAACAACCTGTTAACACTATTCCCAGATGAATCAAGACTAGCATTTTTCAATTATAAATTCACTGTACTCTCAACACAATACCATGAGAATTGACAAGAAATAATCCATCTCATTCAACAAGAAATACAACTTACTTAGATGATGGCGCATGAACAGACCAACCAAAATCAGCTATTTTGATATTTCCCTACAATGACAATAAAACAAATTAAAGTTATTGCAATGCTGAGCTCTTAAGGTTTAGGGTTTTTTACATCCACTTAAGGCATGAGAACATAAAGATAACCTACCTTCATATCAAGCAGCAAATTTTCAGGTTTAATGTCCCTGTGAATCACTTTTAATTTGTGACAGTATTGTAATGCTCCTGCCAGTTGATAAATGTACTGCAACAAGGAAAATGTTCATTATACCCAGCATTGCTAACACAAAAGAAATTGATGAGGATAAGATTTAAGATTTGCTTACCTTTGCACTTTCTTGTTCGTTGAATCGAGTGTGCGCTGTAAGCACTTTATAGAGTTCTCCTTTTGGAGCATACTCCAGAATTAAGTAAACTCTACTAGAATCATAGAAATAACCATACAGACGAAGAATGTTGGGATGCCTGAGGAAGGAAACACCATATCATTAGTATAACAATAATAAAGACTTTATTTCACAAGGGTAGCATGTAATAGCAATGTTATTTTTCTAAAAAAGCTGGAGGACTATGCAATTCTCAGTGATTTACTTACTTTAGATGTGACTGAATTTCAATCTCTCTTCTCAATTGATGCTCAACATTTGATTTTTGAAGTTGTGACTTGAACAGCACCTGTTGAAAGGAGGATTYGCATWAKTRGACAGTTGCTTTGAAGGAGAACACTTCTTGACATCTCAACCATACACCCACATTTACAAATAATACAAAGACAGAAATACATTTGCAACATCTCATTTGTTTTACCTTCAATGCAACAATAAATTGACTTTTCTTTTCTCTGGCTAAATAAACATTTCCAAATTTCCCTGCAATAGCAAAGATCCAAATGTATGAGATTCTTGTACATCATTTATTTAACATGGAATCAACTGTAAACTACCTCTTCCAAGTGGTTTGCCAATGTCAAAATCATCTAAACACCATGATTTCCTGAAGAAACAAGATGSTATGTCAATAGGCCTTCCTTTGAAATAACAAGTACCACTAAATTCTGGACTAGCTTCTATGCAAATAAATTGGATCATGGTATTATTTGAATTGTAATTAGACCATGCACGTCTGCATGTAGGCAGTCTTTTTCAAACAACCCTACTAAGGGAACTAAAGCTGCTGTTGATTCACAAATAATGATTTCAATGTGAGTCCACTACCAGCTTCATATCACAACAGAAGCCTTTATGATTAAATCAGGATTCAGAGTTGTTTGTGCGGCCATCCTTTTGTAAATCAAACTTTATTTCCGCTGCAGCATCATACTTACCCTTTTTTCTCCTTTTTCTCTTTCTTCTCGCTGGTTCCTGATGTCGTGGGTTTTTGTGGAACTCTTGAGGAAGATGGACCATTGTTTTCTTTATCACTGACTGCTTTATGTGGTACTTTAGGTGCCCTGTAAGGACCTCCATGGGATGGCAAATTATTTGGTACATGTGTAGTTAGAATCGGCTGAAAAAKATCAATTTTAATGAAAACTGAGCTTGCTGTTTCTCAAATTTCAAAGCTGTAATCGAATCAAATCGTGTTTTCCCTCAAAAAGTAGACTGCTTCACTGTTTACCATATGAATATTATCAATCATATCATTTCAAATAGTAAAATATTACTAGATGATTTGCTAAGCTTTCCATTTTGTTGCTTTCATGTTAAATAAAATACAAGCACAATTTAGGTATAAATGAAGATCTTATCAGATCGCGCCACAAAGTTCGACATCAAGCTTAGCATTTTCAATCTCAAATATAAAATCAACAAACATTGCTTTGTGCGATCATTTTAGCTTCAAACTGATTAAAAGTATTTCTTTTTTTACCTTATTTTTTCCACTATAGCCGCCATCGGTAGCCGCCAGCTCCATATTTTTGATCTGAAAAGACACAGACAAACCCGCCATTGAAGAAGRCTGATCACGTAACGTAAACTTCGTTAAAAACTTGCCTTCGCTCCTAGATTGCTCATAGCATTCCTTAAAATGTCGAAAGACATACCTCTACCGAAAATCGGACAAATAGCGTGAGTTACAGCAGTAAATATAACGACCTTTTATCCAAGGAAACTTCTTGATGCTGTTCTTGATRCAAGCGTGCTTCGAGAATTTAAAACTCGCCTTTTTCGAATTTGGGACGTTAGTAGATACTTACCTCTGATTGGTTGAATGAACAAAGATTTGACCAATCATTATTAGCTTAGCGACCATCTGCTAAAAAGTTGAGAGAGACTAGAAACGAAATAGACTTATTTACGAGCCTGCAATAGTACTGCGGTAACTCACGTTAATTCAAAATGGCGGTCTGTGTGGCTGTCATAGGAAAAGAGGTAAATATCTTTGTGATCGTTTTATTTTTACCAATTTTGAAGTAAATTGTGATCCAATGGCTACTTGTATAATTTKTCTAGAATTATCCACTGTTTTTGCGCACGGTTTCACCAGAAGAAGAACTAAAATTTCATTACACAGTTCACACTTCCTTGGATGTTGTTGAAGAAAAAGGTATTTAAGTACATTTTATAGACTGATCTATTCCAAACACTACGGTTTATGGAATCACTCTATAAGGAAATATTATCATTTTAATTGTTTAGAACCATTGTATAGTAGTTCCTCTGGGAACAAAAAGAATGCRWTCTAGTCCCAAGAGAGCAAAAATRTTTTGTTATAAGCTTAATCCAAAATACAGCTGTCTTGACATCACATGCAACGGTTCTWTTGTTTTATCAATAACTATTGAATATCAATTTTATATACTCACTAAATAATGATAATGTTATCTCTACGATATAATTTATTTATTTCTTATCTWTTTTTGCAGTTTCCTCACTAACAAAAAGCTCCAATGACCCAAGGGAATTATATCTAGGACTTCTTTACCCAACTGAAGATTACAAAGTGTATCCTCCAATCTCTTGATGCAATTRAATATTTTCTATTTTGATATTATGATTTTTGGTATTCCTGATAACCAAATATTTGGAAAACGTATCCAAAATCATCCTTGACAAAATTCAAGATATGGTTATGTGACAAATACAAAGATTAAATTTGTTATTGTCGTAGAAACAGCTAATACAACTTTAAGGGATAATGAGATTAGAACTGTGAGTAAAATAGCTTCTCTGTCAATTAGCAAAATTGTGATTTTATGAAGTTTAGATGTGTCATCTACAGTATAATCTGCTGCATAAAAAGCATAACTTTTACAGAAAACATTAGATTGACCATTCTGTCCAGCTAGTGACACATGTAATACAAGTGGCAGAACTGTATGGAATTGATGCCAAGCCATTTTWCTTCCCATACAGATCTGACGCAAATGTTGTACATTACATATCAGAAGGCTACCTCTTTCATAGTAGATAAACATTGTAGAAATAAATGTGAATCATGGTCAAAACTCCAACTTCTTGTCTAAGCAAATCAGGGCATTTCTGTTACGACTTACAAACTCAATCAGTCATGATTTCTCATGAATTATAATTTATTTCTTTTGCCAGATGTTTAGAAAACTGCATGTTGCATATACTGATATGTTTTGTAATCCATTTTATAATCCTGGAGAGAATATAACATCAAGGTAGGTTAACATGTAGCTCTTGAAGTATCATGATTGAATAGCCACTTATATCCAGACAAAAGCCGTTACATTTAATGATTGACAGCTCAATCCACAAACACACATTAACCTTACCGATGGTCCATTTTCGAGAAACAATGACAAGTTCAGTTGATGGAAGTGCTTACCTCTCCAGGTGCACACTCTAGCTGTTTTTTTCCTGTTTATGGTATTATACTAATCAGCGATCCTCATTCATTTTCAGACGTTTTGAAGTGATCATCAAGGAAATGTTAAAGGAAGACTAAGTTCTAGTCTATGTACAGTTCTATTTCTGATCTTTGTAAATAAAGGACCTCATTCAAAATTAAATACATCCTAATACTAACTAATAATTAATACTATCTAGAAGAGAATATTGAACACTTTTTGTTTTTATACTCTGCTGAAATAGTAAATAATGCAGCGTCGAAGACAACCAGCGTGCATGCAGTTTATTCTTGAAAATATCTCAGTGTTAAGGGTTTCTTATGTGTAAACACTGCATGAAACTCAGGCTACACAAGATTCCCTTTCCCAAGTTAAAAAATAAACAAAGAAACACACTTCGGGCTATAAAAGAATTTATTGCAGATAAATGTTCGGTGTACAAATGTTAGGATGGACCAAATAATCATCCAAATTGTTAAATTAGAGCCTCAAAGGTAAATAAAACACTCTAGCAATAGATATTACGAGTGCACTTTCGGGATATAAATCATAATATATGATAAATGGTCAATGAAAACCCAACCAATTTAGRATAAAATGTTGTCCAGCAACCCAATGAGATGAAGGTCTTTGTTCTTTTGATGTTCAATGTCTTTAACAATGTTTCCATTCATTTTTTCYACATCTTTTTAATGCTTCCTCCATGTTTTTACTATTCTTGTTTGCTTTTTTTCTTTGTCAAGTTTTCTTTTTCTTGTGTGTTTATTTTCTTGAATTTTCTTGTTTTTTCTTGATTATTCTTTTTGTCATCTCACTCTCACTGTATTCTTTACAATGTTTTTTATCACATCTTAGRTTAATTAATCAGGGGTTTTTTAAATGGATCAACTGGTCTATTCTTTCTAGATTACTCACAAGAGAGACCTTCACTGCTGGCCCAAGTTTTGCATTTAGCCATGGGAAGGAATTCTGTGGAAAGAAATCTTTCAGAATCATTAGTAAAAAGAAAAGGCTATCAAAAAAAGTACACTTTGTCCTAGTAGGGTGAATACCAATTAGACCTGCCTCGGCCCCTGTGGAACAATAAACCAAATTAATTACACAAATTATCCTTATTATAAAGCATCATTAGTATCTAGACAAAGCTTTCCTCACCTGAACATTGCTCTACCCCTACCACGTGGAAAACCACCCATGTATGGGTTATATGGTTGGTAATAACCACCTCGCATACCACCACGCCCTCTGCCTCTTCCACGGTTTGTTGTGCTAATGCCAGGTCGATTTGTTCTTTTAGCTGATACCTGAATTCAAGTTTCCATTATTTACAGTATTGAAAATATTAATATTTGGCAACTTAAAAGCTTGTTGACTTTTATATTTTGTGTTACCTTAATTTGTCTTCCTTTAAACAAAGATTCATTCAAAGTGACTGCATTCTCGACTGATTCTTTCTCTGTAAACTCTACATATGCAAACCTACAGCAAGTTTCAAACATTCAGTGCACATTTCCTCCTCAGTTCGAGAATTATCAATTTGTTTGATATAATTTGTACCCTTTTGGATGACCAGAAAACTTATCACACAAGATCGTCACTCTGTTTACGGATCCACAACCATGGAAGTGTTGTTCTAGTTCCTCTGCAGTCGCTGAGTAATCAACCTAAAGGAATAACAAAGGACAAACGTGAAAATATAGCTTGTTATACTCCGCTTTCAAATAAGTATTTAAATGCTATATAACTAACTACTCATTTACATGTAGTGACATTACCACGGCACAGAATCAAAGAGTTTGGCATACTGCATGAGCTGTTTCACTATTATGCTTGTAACCCAATCTTAATGGCTACACAATACATATACCAAACTCTTTTCCTGCTTGTTACTGAATCATAAAGAAATTTTGCTTACATTGCCAACATACACAGATCTTGAATCTACTTCAACTTTCTCCTCTATGGTTTTCGGTGCACCACCTTTTCAGCAAATACAGAGTAGACTATTAGCCTTGAAGCAATTTGTTCTGCATTGTGTTAAGCAATGATCGGAGCCCAATGATCAACACGTACAGAGCTTCGATAGAGTTAAGCATGCATAGTGGACAAGTTCAAACTCAAAATCAAGCTTAGGATTATATTGAATTGTACCAAAAAGAAGTAAATTCAAACGAACTACAGCTAAAGCAACGAAGAGTATATTAACCTGCTGGTGGTGGACTCATAATGGACTGTTCCACTTGTTTTTGCATCTCCTTAAGTTTTTCAGCTTCCTCTTCCATTTCCTTTACTCTTGCTTTGATAGCTTCAAGCTCCTAAATTCGTAAACCTTTGAGTTCAATACATCCCCAAATCAAATCTMCATWMAATCATGCTTCCCTACCGGATCATCGGCGTCTTCAACAACGGAATCATGACTTATTTCATGAAGAACAGAATCATCAGCGTCCTCTTTGACTGATTCTGTTGTACTATCTAAAAGACCTGCTACATCATCTAGATCAGCCATCGCAATTTAATATAAGTTATACGTTACAGAAAAACTAACAAAGAATAAGATTCACTAAGGATTGTATTAAAAGATTTAAAATATTGGTCGATGGAAGACGATTCTTTCTCACAACTTTGTTATCGAAGCGAGAACTTTACCAAAATGGTCGCTGTTATATCACGTGATGATTAGACAAACATGGATTGACCACAGGGGAGGGGAGGGTATTTATAGTTCATCAAATAAAACGGTAATGACTTTTGCATTTTATTATTTATTATAGAAAAGACAATTACAATTTTAACTTTGGAAATACAAAAACCATGTAGTAATGCCTAGAAAAACAACTTACAATGGCGCATTATATACAAGCATCTTATACATTTTTTTTTTCAATATYTATAGGGATTAACTCCAAAATCCATTGCATTTCAACTCGGGACTTCTGTGTGAATCCTTAAACCATGCATCGCCTTCACTTCCTCTGAGAGAGCCTATTACAGACAAATCATTTACTACTTAGCATTTTAATATTATAATTTACGATAATTTACGAATGATCGTCAGAAATTACTTACCTCATTCACAATCCTATGTTGCTGTACTTTTCGCTTTCCTCTGAATATTTCTGACTCTACAGAGATTTCATACATGGCTCCACAGCCTCCTAAACCATAACCAAACATAACTTAAGATAAATAAAAGTATTTTTTATAGTCCTATAACAAAAATAACAGCAGATGTACCTGAAATATCCCTCACTCTGATCACGGTTGCATCAATTTTAGATGCCAATGTTTCAGCCAATTTCTTTTCAGCATCTGTCTCTACATCAGTCTTGGTAAGGCATCGAATGGATCCATGTGTTTGCAGGCTRTATGTCACCTTTGAAACAAGGAAACCATCATTGCTTTCTGATATGAATATTGAAATATAAATAATAAAGTTTATTGACGCCAGGCTGTAATTGTTCATCATGATGATTTAGTATCATCACCACTTTCACCAAAACACAATTATGTTAAAGATTCAACCAATCAATACTATCACAAATTTGTCAATAAAACAATTTCTATGAAAAAGAGCTGAGTGCCATTAAAAATAATGTGAAATATTAAAATATGCTTCTCTGCTATCAAATCTCTCTCAGCTGATAWGGCATCCTAAGAAAAGCTGGCAAATAACCTCTCTATTTTCATAAATTTGAGCATCACTAGATRTTTTGTAGCATTTCAAATATAGTAACTAAATTTTTGAAATTAAAAGTGTACAGGCACGTGATAATTCTAAAACTTCCATTTTTGTTATTACATAATGCGTTTCTAATATTTTTCAAAATGTGTTACAACTAAAACACATTCTTCGATATCAAATAAACGTTTCTCACCTGGCATAATCTTCTGGAAAGTAACGCTCTAAGCATTTTATATAATGGTACAAAATTAACACAAAAGTAATCGACCAAAACACTTTGTTTACATCAGCGGTTTGTACAGCGGGCTCGTATCAAAGTTTGCAAAGGATGACGGTCAATCTCTAACCACAACAATGCAAGATGTCGTCCAATACCAGCAGACAAAGCAGAAGTCAATATTCTCCTTTGGTCAACTTATCTACCTCCCAGGGCTCAAGCGGATGGGGGAAACAGGCRRCCAAGAGGTTTGATACGTCGGAGGTCTTCAAGAAAGATCCCCTTTTGAAGAGTTTAGAGGGGAAAATTGCCGTRGGATTCGGAGACTACAAGCCTTGGCAACGCACTTCTATCCCTAGAAACGCGATCCCTGTAAAGCCGTCAGCCCCTAGAACTTCTAGGAAGGAATCAAATAGACCTCTKTCTAGTCGCATGACTCGATCGAGCTATAGTGCTGGAGGAGGGTCAAAAGCAGGAGAATACGAGAGGCCTTCTAGCGGAGCTACTATTCATACCCAGTGCTCGTCTGTTTGTCTTCATCCATGGCTCAAAAAACCTGTGATTATTCCTTCTGGGGCATTTGATAAAAAGAGATATAAGTTTTTGTCTGTCCTCAGGGTGAGTGAATTTTTATTATTTTTGATTAACATATACTAGTACAGTTTTTGTACGTCATGCTCCAAGTTGATGTCAATCAGGGGACCTAATGACGTCATTACCGATTGATGGTGATTACAATATACTTTAGATTAATATTAAGTATTCGTCCCGAGGATGTGGTATAGAGATTAACTGTATTCCTTTTTCACTCAACTACCTGATGTTTTCAGCCAATTTTTGATTTCATTAGACTAGCCTATCAAAATGTAGATATCCAGTCGTTGATAATATTATTCATCTATTTTCGTTGATAATATTATTCATCTATTTTCCAGACGCAAATAAGGGCAAGACAAAGAACAATAGAAGAATACCAAAACAGGAAGATGCAACTGTATCCTAGTAAAATTTGAATAACATTAAAACCTGCCATTATTCTTGGTGTGCAACGACACGATCAAGGATCCCTTGAGAGATAAAGAACAGAGCTCTCACTGAATGCCTTTGCACCGGGCTAATGGTTGCCACTATAACATAACATGCACACCAAGAATAGGTCATACAAACCATTTAACAGTTCAGGCATTTTTCACAATTAGTTATTATCTGGGAAATGCATGGATTGTAATATTTTGATGATCTGGAAATGTGCATTGTGTTAAACCCGACTATACTGAGTGTTAATGCACAAAAACACAAAAAATGTTATCAATTCCTTGACTTTAAGTCATGTATCAGACTACAAGACAATTTAGCTTTTAAAGAACAAATTGAGTCCTCTGAAGTTGATGTGGTAAGATGAAATGCTTGCTTTCTCAGTGTTCAGTACTTTCTTAATACAACTTATTCATCATTATGTACAACCCACAGCATGACCAAGTTAAGGGCTTACTTCAAAAGTATGATAAATTTAGGGTAAGTAAAGACTAAATGTTTATATAAATTATAACTACTAGAGTTCAAGAATTCTTTTATTTTGATTATAGTTTCAGAAACCTGTATTACTGGTGTTGGTTTTGCGACCTTTTGTGTGACTAAATGTACCCCTATATTGTCTTTGATATCTTTGATCTAATAACTAATGATTATTATAAAAATTATTTTTTGTCTTGCTTGTATATAGGGAGCTCTGGACACTTTAAACAAAACCTATGAAGAAGATCTTATTGCAGCAAAGAAAAGCTTGAAAAGCACTCAACTGAAAGTAAACATGGAGCTAGAAGGTGAATCAATAGCTCGGTTACTTTTTTGAGTAATTATCATTCTACAACATAATAATGTGATGTCGTTTCTTCTTCCAGAATTACAACAAAACCTCAATGCATTGAATGTTAARCTTCAGAAAGAAATACAAAAAACAAACACTCTTCTTAATTATAAGGTACATTACTTGTACAAATGTGTGTATGGTGTCAATCAAATAAAGAAACAACTGTGAAATGAATATTAATCTAATGTGCCTTACTATAGTCACTAACTCCATTTGTCTCTCCAGGACAAGGAATACCCAGARAAAGCTTTACAGATTGCAAAATTAAAGAAAAGAAAAGAAATTATTGCTAGTGCATTTAAGGTACGTAAATTGTTATGATGATAGATCATATTGTTCAGTACTACAAGTGAGAACTAGCTCAACGAAACGAGCTCAACATTGTAACGTTATTGTATTTTAGGAAGAGCTTGAGGAGCTGCAAGCCGTCATTGAAACTGAAACTGTCAAATTTGGTGATCACACACAGAGGACCCAAGAGGAAATTAAGGTTAAAGCAGTTCAGGTTAGTATTACAATGATTATCAGCATCATTTATCACTAGATATCATGATAATTTAGCTGTATTTGGTATTTATGATGGAGACTTATAGTCCTTRTACTCTATTATGATCTTAATTTTATTGTACAATAAGTATTTGTTATTATTAATGGTTTAATACTTTAGGATATGGTGAAGTGTATAAATCCAAGTGTCCAAGAATTAGCTCTTCAAAACATGGCCATGAAAAAGGTAGGTTTTTAGCTTCATCCATTATATGGATCTTTGAAAATAAAAAGATTGCAAAATACAACACAAAATAAACTAAATTGCATCATTTTCTCTTGAATGACCAGGAAATTGAAATGCACTTAAATGAGGTTAAACTTCTTGAAGATAAAAATCAAGGTTTAGAAGAGAAAATACAGTAAGTACAACTCATTGATCACAAGACCATTACAGAGTCTTGTGTACTTGATGTATATCTAGTCAGTCCTTCATACTTACAGCGACTTTGTGTTCAGATCTCTCCTAGAAAGTAAAGAATTAAACACTAGAGAACAACTATTTCCTGATGTGGTTGGAGAAAGAGTCAAGTATGTAAACTTATATTCAACACTTAAAATATTTTTACTCTGCAAACATAGCTCTGTTTGCAGAATAAACGTTTTTGAAGCTTTTGCATTACCTAAAATAAGTTTAGGAATCATTTAACAAAATAGAATGCTTGTTTTTCCAGATGCACACCTGATATGGATTTAGTGCTTGACATACCTACTCACAAGTGGTTACCGATATAAAAAGATATCTAATTTAATTTATTATGTAAATAAGATGATTATATTTTYATACATTAAAATTACGATAAAAAAGTTTTTTGTTATTTTATTGCTCGCATTTAAGCCATAATAAGCATAAAATTTCAATTTCTTACAGTACCTTTAGAAGAAAAAAACTTTGAAGAATGAAGATAAAGACAATGGCTCTCATTCAACRGAAAWTTWWT